TATCATTTTGCGCTTAAGGTTATCAAAGATGATCAACATGGATTTGTGCCTGAAGTGATCTTTCCAGTGGCGATTCATTATAGTCAAAGTGAACAAAGACAATATTGTAACAGACCTTCGTTATCATCACAAGCTAATAGTTTTTTTCAGCAATACTATTATCAGCCTTTCGATACAAGGCGAAGTTGTGGCATTTAACAGCACAAGAATCGTTAGCAGAATAAAAAATAATGAAAAATACTACAATTTACATCAGTATCACTATAAAAGGAAGATCGAAAATGCAATATAACAGCGGTATGGCATATTAAACTGGCGAAACCACTGGGAGAGTTCACCACTGATGAGACAGGCCATTAAATTTTTCATTGCAGTAAGGGCAGTAGAAATTGTTTAATTTTTAAAAGAACCATACGCGTCTGAAATAGTTTCGAATTTATAATATACTTCCTAACTACATAAAAATTTAGTATTTTATTTACTAAAAGGCTGAAACAACTGTGGATACTTTATTTCCAAACCCGATAGAATAGCTCCAAGAAGAATACAGCCAGATGATTGCGCCGCGAGTTGAATAAACTAAGCAGATATCAATAATAAAAACCTTGAAACACAAGAAAATGACAAGACCAGATAGAATTCAAAGCACAAGGCATGAATTACACTCGATATTGTCACGTGGAAAATTAGAAAAGACAAACTTAAGGATGACACAGCAATTTATTTAGGCATAAACAAACTATGCATGTTAAACAAAATATAAGCAATGAGGGAGTTTACAGAGTAGCAAAATATAAACATAAAAATGATACTCTGTTAATAAAATAATAAATACTTTGCTACATAGCTCTTTTTCCCTATGTGAGCTGTGACCCACAGTTTACAATTATTGTAGTTACTGACATGGATCTGACGTGCTTCTGCCAAGGATTCTATAGAAGTCTTGGAACTTTGTCCATAGTACCTTTGCGTCTTATTTTCTTGCGGCGTGAAGAGCGACTTTGTCGTCATATCGTTTATAGAGACATCGTCATCTTGGAGGGAAGTCTTGGCTTTAACACGGACGTGGAATTCTGGATCCAGTCTCTGAAAATGTATTGCATAGATATATGCAATAGATCATAGCACTCATGTCCTCTACGTCTTCTAGGCGATCTTCATCTTGTCTTCCCTAATATACCCAGCATATCCACCAAAATTCCACGTGGATAATTAGAAAAGACAAACTTAAGGATGACACAGCAATTTATTTAAGGCAAGAACGAACTATGAATTATAAACAAAATATAAGTAATGAGGAAAGTTTAAGTTTAATTAAGTTTAGGGGTTTAATTGAATAGAAAATATAAACATAAAAGATGATACTCTGTTAATAAATATAATTTGCTACAATATTTATGCTATATCTCACGTCAAAAGATTAAAGCCATTTGACCCATTAGAACTAGCTGTGACGTAGAAGACTTTCTATCTGTGTACGACCTGGTTTAATCAATACGCACCTGTATATGACAGAGTCCCATAAATTGTAATTAGACGCTGTGGGCGTCTCTCATTTGTAAGGATTAATGGCGTTGGACTCACCCCGGGGACTCCCGTCCATATCTTGATGGACTACTCCTGGATAATTCTGAATAATTGGGACTTGACATGTAGATGAACGAAGTCGATAAATTAGAGTTCTATTTCGAAAGTCCATTATCTAATTTTTATTGAATAACTAGTCTGATTTTTACTCGAGTGGAAATTTGTCTGACGAACATTTGTTATCTAATCCAATTTTTATTGAATAACTAGTCCGAATTTTACCCGAGTGGAAATTTGTCTGACGAACATTTGTTATCTAATCCAATTTTTATTGAATAACTAGTCCGAATTTTACCCGAGTGAAAATTTGTCTGACGAACATTTGTTATCTAATCCAATTTTTATTGAATAACTAGACCGATTTTTACCCGAGTGGAAATTTGTCTGACGAACATTTGTTATCTAATCCAATTTTTATTGAATAACTAGACCGATTTTTACCCGAGTGGAAATTTGCCTGACGAACATTTGTTATCTAATCCAATTTTTATTGAATAACTAGTCCGAATTTTACCCGAGTGGATATTTGTCTAAACATTTGTTTAAACAGTGTTGTTTTTTCGGACAAACATTCACTCCCCATTGAATCTAGAAGGTTGGTGCACGAGTGGCTAAAACCCTTGATTCCCGACAGCCATGAACTGGGATCGAATTCCGTATTGTACACTTTTTTTTTCTGTGAAGAACCTGTTTATATTTTTCATGGTAAATAACATAAGCTAGATTGCTCTTTTGAGCGGTACCTAATTAAGTTATTTTGGAACTATTGAATCTATTTAGTCATGTTGAATTGATGCTTGTTACTCTTCTTCACCAATATTAGTCAAATAAAAAACCATTTTAAGCACATTTTTGAGTTGTAAAATCATATTAATTATTATATACTGACTCTAAATGACTTAGATTATCCCGGATTCTCTCCTAGAGAATCTTTGCAAGGCTAATTTTGCTTTAACAAATGTATTTTATCTATATTAATATATATTTCAACATATATATATGAATATACATATAAATACTAGCCGAATGACCCGGGCAACGCCCGAGTTTTACCCGAGAGTATTTCCCCGAGTATAATACGTATGTATAAATATTTTATTTTTTTATTCAAATACTATTCATTACAATTATAAATTATGACCCAGCTTCACTCAGGATCACCCCAATAATGCTTGAAATGAAGCATTCATGATATATATAATACAAACAAAAAATTAAATGTCAGGCATTCTTTAATATAGCAATACAATACAGAATTTTACACAAAATTAGAAAATATCATAAATAGAAAATAGAATATAACACTGTGCAACACGATTTTTGTTATTCAGTTCTTATTATGTTTTTTTGCTGTTGTTGTTGTTGTATTAGGACACATACAATTGAAAAAATACCATTTTACAGTTAAACTTCGGTTTTGAGTCTAGGACATCTATTTATTTGAAAATGCAAGAAGGACATAAGAAAAGGCCAAATAACGATCATAATGCATTAAAATTAACATACTTCATGTCGATCTAAGAGTCTGAAGTTCTGCATACTGCATTGTCATTAAAATTGAGCGAGTTTGTAAATTTTTAGGTTTATAGGTAGTCTGAAAGAATGCTAAAATTGATTACAATATTCTGAAACAATTTTCTTCCACACATACGTCCTGAATACCTAGAAGTCTAAAATTTTATACATTTGCATTCTCATCGGGGTTGAGCGAGTGAGCAATTTTTTAGGCATCTATGTCGTCTGTTAAAAATTCTTGGACAGTAATGAAGATAAGTTATATAAAAGCTTCTTTTCTTTTAAAGAAAATCGCGTTCGCCTATGAAACTTGATAACGCGTAATTAACATTATCAATTTTACAGCAACAATGATATTATCAATATAAATGAAAAAAAAAATTATTATAATAATTATATACACCATATTTTAAAACTAATAAATATGTTTAATTGGTTTAAATCAATGTTCTTTTGATATTATAAGAAGGCTCTATAAAAACATCGTCAAAATAAAAGTGAAAATTTAATTATAAAATATCAAATTTACATAATCATTTTATGATAAAGAGTTTCAAAAATTCCATGTCAATTTTTTTTACTCAATCTCAAAGTATTGTTAGTGAACCTTTGTCGCGTGTGTAAAAGTTTAATATGTCACCTAATAAAGGCGAGCGTCTGCTGATAAATTTATACCAAATTTCGTCGCAGAAGATCGTTAACAGCCAGCTGTCGTCTGTTCATCTTAACAAGGCACTATTGATCGCCTGACGTTTTTTGTTCTGATCTAGACAGATGTCAGAGAACGGCGGTGACTTAGCCTAAACGTGTATTAGGCTCCAGACGAACATATTTCACTTATTTCACTCTTATTCAAAAATATATTTTTTCAAATTATCGTTATACTATTATATTTAAACGATTTTAAAAATATAAGGTTGTCCTAAAAGTTCATGTTTTTCTTATAACATTGTTTTTATTATTACTTTGCGAATAATATTATTACGGCTAATACATAATAATATATAATACAATTACTTTATACATAATACAAGGACAATATACATAACGGCGAATAATATTGGCATTTCAATTTTTTGCAAGTTTTTACAAACTTTTGGGATAACCTTGTATTAAGCAAATTATGAAACGAAACACAATAATCTGATATCAAATCATCTAAATATGATTATATTAATTCGAATTCAAGATAGAAAGGTAATTTACATTAATATATTTTAAATTAAAAATGCATATATTGGATCAAAATATCATTTATTTTAACAATATTTCAGTTGGCTGAACGCGAACAGTTAAATAAATGATATTTTGATCTAATATATGCCTTTTTAATTAAAGATTTATTTAAGGATTGCTCTATTTTCAAAACATTAATATATCTACCCAAATTTTGAAAATAAATGTTTTGCTCTTATATATAAATATTTAATTAATATTTCTAAAATGTTCAGACAATAACTTTAAGGTAGCATTTTAATTATCTACGAAAGAACAACCACTTAAATATAGCGTTTATAAAAAGCTAAAAGTTCAGAACCTTTTTATATAGACTTACCTTAAAGATGAGTAGTGAGAGTTCAGAAGCGGATAGATTTAAATTTAGAATGATGTTACTGACATCCATTAAAAAAGGTTAAATCATGCAAAAATGAGTTTAAAATATATAGAGTAAAGGGAAACTTTGAATGAAAATATGAGAAATTGTATAAAGTCGAGGAGGACTTATCCAGGAGTCTCCCCGACTGTATATAATTGCTCATATTTTCGTTTAAAGTTTATCTTTTCCTCTATATATTTTAAACTTAGTTTTCATGATTTAACTTTTTTTTGACGGATGTCATTAACATTTTTCTAAATTTAAATCTATCCGCTTCATAACTATTAATGCTTATCTTCAAGGTAGGTTGGTTGAAGGATGGTCTAAACCGTTGATTTTTGACCGCTACGACCCGGGTTCGATTCCCGCATTTGGCACTTTTTTTTTCTGAATAAAAAAAAATGCTCCAATGACCCACTATTTTGGTAAAGGTACAATCCCACCAGCGAGTGCAAGTAACCAAAAGGGGCTCTGGAACATTTGTAAGTGCAAAGTCGAACTGCTTTTCACATGTGTAGACATGTAGTGCACTTACAGTAAAATCAGTCGCCAACTTCTGCCCTCCATTATTATCATGGCCTGTATCACGTGTACCTGGGATAAGCAAAAAAAAAGTTGTCTGGAAAGGTTCTGGATTTTCATCTCTTTTTAAATGATATATTTAAGGTTGTTCAGAGATTTAGTTCTGGTTTCCCTAAGCTCAAGAGCACTTAGTAGATTGACACTTTTGTTGACGTGACAATGGCATCCATCCCTTGTCTAAAGAGCCAACAGGTCGGATTATCGCTGGATGAGGTTGAAGTCATTCCAGAGGAGAGGTATGACTCAGCGATTCTGAACAGTACCTTTAGGACAGCCGCAGATCACTGGAGCCACAGGCTTTGCAAGTTTTTTCTAGGCATAGCCCAGATGATTTAAGGAACAAGAATAGTTTAGACTATCCCAATAATTAGAGAAGTATTAAGAAATTAAGTGATATAATAAATTATATATATATTATTGTAATGTTCCTCTCTCTTCGATTAAATAAATAAATATGCTTTATTAAATTAATAAACTAATTTTTATTATATATATTTTTAATGTCAAACGTACACTTTTTAAATAGATTCATAACAACAACAATTATTACAGTGCTGCCAAATCCAAACAATCAAAAATAAATTAATTAAACAGAGTATATTATAATATTATTATAAGGTATATTACAACTCCCCCGACTTCAAGCGACTTCATCCCTCCTGGGATGTCGATGCAGATAAGGTTGGATATTGGAGATGTGAGCCGTTCTTGGAGTTTTATCATCAGACTCATATTCAACATATTTGGGGTGGCCATCCATTTTGGTTACCCTTGTCACTCGATGCGGACCAGATAGCTTCCATTCCTTTCCAACCTTCTGATGTCTTACCAAAATATAATCGTCGATATTCATCTCTGGTGGCAGGGCCATCTTACGACTGTTAAAATAAAACTTTGTTCTTTGTCGGTAGAGGTTTTGCTCAATTTGACTTTTTTCTGTTTCATAAAGGGGACAGTGAAGATTAAGCTCTTTATCGGCAGGTAAAACAGGGGAAGTTTTTGTAAGTTTGAATAAAGGGGAGCAACCCAGGTAGGAGTTGTAGGATCTATTATGGTAGCGTACTGCCGCTTCTAAGGCATTTTTCCATCCACCCTTGAAGTGAGGATAGCACGAGAGAAAGGTCTTTATATCTCGTATAGCTCGTTCCGCTAAACCATTTCCTGCAGGGTGATAAGGAGAAGTAGTTATTAATCGGATGTCTTTGGAGGTTGCCCACCTAGGGAATTCTCCATACACAAATGATCTCCCTTGATCGGAGACTATAGTTCTCACTGATTTCAGATCCTCATGTTCGTTGAAATATTTTATTAGAGCACGGCCATGTTGTTTCATTGCCTTTGCTTGAACTACCCTAGTAGCCTCGTCAATAATTAGTAAAAATGTTGAATTCTTATCCTTGATGTTAGAAGGAGCCTCGGCGAAATCTACATGTACAGTATGGAAAGGTACCCTTGATTGATGGGGCAAACTCATCTTTGAAGGACGGCTCTTATACTTGAACTTGACCCTTTGACAGATAGGACAAGAAGATACATATTTCCTTATGTCATTCTTCATACCAGGCCAAACAAAGCGTTGCTTCATTTTATAATATGTCCTCCAAAACCCCGAATGTCCTCCTGATAAGGGATCATCATGGTACATAGATAAAATTGAAGTTCGATGTTCGTGAGGGACAAAATATTTCCCGTGATCTTCTAATTTTAAAGGAATACTCTGATGTTTAACAAACAGTACGGTTTGATCGCTGGAATTTGGTGTTTCTACAGCCAATCTAGACAGCGCGTCTGCATCGCTGAGCTCCCTGCCAGAACGGTGGTTCACTCTCATTTCGAATGAGCTCAGAAACAGCTGCCACCTCGCAAGTCGATCCCGGAGATGGCCACAGGAAAGTAGCTGTGTCAATGCGCGATGATCCGTATGGACAGCAAAATACTTGCCTTCCAAATACCATCTGAAGTGTTTGACAGCCTTCAACACAGCAAGGCATTCTTTTTCGGTGATGGAATAATTTTGTTCAGCCTTGGAAAATGTATATGAATAATAACTAATCACTCTGAGTTGAAGTGATTTCCTTTTATTCACGTCTCTCTGGTATAGAATAGCCCCTGTTCCATAATATGAAGCATCTGTTGACATTTCATAAGGCAATGACTCATCTGGGATTGCCAGTATTGGTTTTGACGTGATGATATCAATAAGTTTTAAATAGGCCTCTTCACATTTATCAGACCACATAAAACTAGAATCTTTTTTCTTCAGGTTGTCCAACGGTCGAACTATCGTGGCATAGTTTGGTATATAGGCCCGAAAATGACCTGTAAATCCAGTAAAACATTGTAGTGACTTAAGATTATATGGGCGTTTCATGAGTTTAGCCTTTTCGATTACTTCCCCCTTCATTTGCTTCGAGTTCCCGTTGATAATTCTACCTAAAAGTTCCACCTCAGATACACAAATTTGGCACTTGCCCAAGTTCACTGTCATATTATATTGATTCAGTCTATTGAGAACTTTGTAGGTGAGGGAAGCACATTCTTCAAGGGTTGGGGCGCCACAACAAATGTCGTCAATGTAAACAACCACTCTGAGTTCCAATAAATCAGCCAACATCTCGCTCATAACCCTTTGAAATCTAGGAGGTGAATTTTTCCACCCAAACGGTAGTCTCTTAAACTCATAAAGTCCATCAGGTGTTACAAAAGCAGAGAACTTTCTCGTGGCTTTAGTTAGACCGACTTGCCAAAACCCATCCTTCAAATCAATTTTTGTAAAGTATCGACAACCCCCAAATTTATTAATGATTGAATCGATTCTAGGAAAAGGAAAAGGGTCCAAAAAAGTCTCTTTATTCAACTGTCGATAGTCAATACAGAGTCGGTAGGACGAGTCAGTTTTAGGAACTAGAATACAAGGTGATGCGTATTCAGAAGTAGAAGGAGTAATAATATCCCCATCTAGCATCTCCTTGATTTTTCCAGCAGTCCATGCTCTCTTGTGATCTGACATAGGGTAAGGTTTACACGCCACGATGTTATTATTGGGCTTCAATAGAAAGTCGATCTCGTGCAATGGTAATTCCTTTTTGGAGACATTGCAAAGCTTGGGGAATATAGTGATCAGGTCATCACTGGTAAAAATAACTTCTTTTGACCGCAAAGACAAGCACTTAATCTCATCAGTCCCAAAGTTCCATTGAATTCGGAGATCCCTCATGGTGGGCTTTCCTATTAACAGTTCGAATGGCATCTCCCTCAATATTGTCGCCGTCATCATTCTCTGTTGATCGTCAACCTGAAGTTCCACCTCAATATTCTCAGTAGCTCGGACATGGCTTTCGTCAATCGTTGTTATCGTGGTCTCTGATGGATAACTTTTCCATTTATATTTGGCCAAAAGGTCTCTTCTCATTAGATTGATAGAAGAATCTGGATCCAAGAAAGCAACAAGTTTTACACCATTTATAATAACGGGCAACTTAGAATCGGGACTTTTGCAAGACAAAAATAGGATCGATTTTGTCATCGGGATCGAACAACCCTCTAAATTTAGTTTTTTTGAAGAGAAGACACAGAATTATTTTGATTGTTCATTGTCTGTGATGCCTCCTCAATTTGATCAAGTTTGGCAAAATAGGCTGGCTTCTTGACCACTGTGTTGCCAGTTGTCTGGTAGGGCTTGGGTTCAAAAGGTTTTTTCTCCAAACTGGGACGGATATTTTTCAGCAGCTGAAGAAGAGTCTCTTTGTTTTCAATTTTCACAGTGGACAACTGATTCTGCATATCTTGGGGTAGCCCATGAATCACTCCAATTATCAATAGCTTTTCACTTAAGCCGGGCATCCCTAATCGCATTTTCCTTTGTTTTTGGTGGAAGTAATCGATCAGAGAGCCGCCTCGATATCTCCACTTGAACGCCCTATCATATTTGTCTATGGGGTTATCCCCAAATGAGGATACAAAATCTTCTTTCCATGTTTCCCAGCTAAAGTTGCATTCATCAGCAAGTCTGCTATCGAACCACAATTGTGCAGTTCCCCCTAGGTAGTTTCTCATACCATATATTTTGGATTGATCTTTTACCCAACCATTATTTGCACAGACATTTTCATATAGGGTTATCCAAGTGGCTGGATCTAAGTTATTACCGGAGAAATCGGGTGCTTTCATTTCGACATGTCTTGGTGCATATTCATGCTGGTTTAAACTTAAATTTTGAACTAAAGAATTAACTAGTTTTTGTTGTTCTGCTACAGTAGTTATCAATTTGCTAAAAGTGTCTTCTGTTAATAGAGATTTTGTATCTAATTCCTCCTCATCCATTACGCAAATTTGTAAATCTTCAAATGATCGATTTTTGTATATTTCAATTATTTTTGATGGAACTTTAACAAATCTATTAGAATCCTTTTCTAAATAGTAAGAAGTTAGATTCTTTCCACATTTAAACACGAGCTCGTGATAAATGGGCATTTGAAATTCTTCAGGGATAGATAGAACGTTAGCATCAGGGTTAAAGCTATAGCCAATTACCTTTTTATTCTTAAAATGCAGGATGATCGATCCTGTCGGCTGCGCCATTTTTGTAATGTTCCTCTCTCTTCGATTAAATAAATAAATATGCTTTATTAAATTAATAAACTAATTTTTATTATATATATTTTTAATGTCAAACGTACACTTTTTAAATAGATTCATAACAACAACAATTATTACAGTGCTGCCAAATCCAAACAATCAAAAATAAATTAATTAAACAGAGTATATTATAATATTATTATAAGGTATATTACAA